ATGGTGTTGGATTATAATCATAACATGTACTAGCGGAATGATCTGGTATTGTAAAATTATTTTTTTATATGTTGCACCACCGTGTGAAAAATCAGTCGTATAACATCAACGTTCTTACCTGTACAATAATGATAGAAAAAAAAAGGGGACATAAAATCATCCCTACATACATTAAATATTTTTTAATTCATAAAATCAAATAATTTTTAGATTCGACTTATAATCTCCGAGTTAAGCAAAAAAAATACTTTGAAAATCGATAAAATTTTATAAATGTCGTTTAAAAGTAATCAACCTTCAGAGCCTCAAACAAATGATGAAACACATGAAGGTCATCTAAATATGTTATGCCAAAAAGTTCAAGCTCTATCACGAAATCCAGATTTTTATATAAAATGTGGTCTTCAAGAACTTGAAATTCTCAATGACTGGAGCGTTACACAAGCGCAAATGACAAATGACGGCGGAAAGTCAATAGCAAGATGGAATCCACGTACTGATTGGCCTTCTACATTAGTTACTGGTACTTATGATTTTGTCCTCCCAGTACTTAAGCAACCATCTTACCAAGGAAATAATACATGGGAAGTGAATTTGGATGAAATTTCTTTAATGGTATCAACAAATGATGATCCTGGCACAATTAATGAAATGTGTTTAGATGAGTTTCTAGAAAATATCTGTGAATTCACGGATCTTCCTCCCCCATCATCAAACTTTTCAAATCATGAATTGATTGATGACTATGCAAATGTTGATGCGCAAGTCACAATTTTACCTGCTCCGTTAACCGATGCAGAAGCTAGTTATTCATTCGCGATTTATCCAAATTTCGCTTGTTCAAGCATTCTCATAATAATCTCTACACAAACTGATACTACTGTACATTTAGTAGATACTGATGATATATCTATCTTTAACAAAATTATCGGTGGTTACAAACTTTGTCGTAACGACCAAGGAAGAGTGGCTCCTTTTATTGCGCGATCATTTGAAAGTATTACTGGAAACGAACACTTTGAAAATCTTTCATTTTTAATTCAAGTGCCATTAAAACGCGATAGTTCTCAACCTATTAGTCCGACAGTTTATAATTGTTCTTTATTTCCTTCGTTATCTAAAAAATCTGGGTATTCCAGAGATGATCGATTTCCCATACATGTTACCGCTCATTTTATTTTAGTCACCAAAGATGGTAACGTGAATGAATACGATATAATACAAGCATCTAGCTGGATTAATTATGCAAAAAAGTTTAAAGGTGATTTATGGTCAAAAATTTTTCCATCAAATGTTGCAACCACGACATCAAGAACTCAAATGTCATGGACTCTTGGTAATGTACCTACAACCCTTCCCATAAGTCCATCTCAACAAATAATTCAAACATCAATAGGAAATGTAAAAACTTTATTTGATGATCAGAACCTCATGTCGAATACATCGATTAAATATCATTCGCTTTCAGGATCACTAAAATCTTTTGTAGAAAGTAATCCGAGTTCACCGACTACAGTTAAAGATGTCGATGTGATATGTCGACAATGTCGTATAAAATTAAGCTCGAATCAACTTTACGCTCGTTGCATTTACTGTCCTGACTTTGATATCTGTGGAGAATGTTGTGTAGTCGAAGGTCTTGAACATGATCAGCGTCATCTCTTCATTCTTGTTAATCCAAATTTGAAAAATTTTCAAAATTCCAACATTAATTTGAAATCAAAGGTATCACTCGTGCACGATGTTCAATGTAATTTCTGTAGAAAGATGCCGATTGAAGGCATCCGTTACATATGTTTAGTATGTCCTGGTCCAATAAATATTTGCAGTTTTTGTGAAGACATGGGTGCACATAATGCTGCGAATTGCTTCTCGCATCCTCTTATCAAAGTATATATTCCCGGAACTTATGATTCGAATACCTTAAAATTGTCGTAAAATTCAGTAAATCTTGGTTTGGTTTATTATCCCTTAAATTGTAACGCAGGCAAATTTGCCTGCGTTTTTAAAAAATCTTTTTAAAATTTTAATAAAATTTTAAATATTAATATTAAACATATTATTCTATATAAAATATATATTTCGATATATGATTTATTAACTTTATTGGAAAAATTTTTTAAATTCTACATAAGATTTTAAATATTGCATGATTTAGAAATACTTTACCTCATTTTTTAAATAATTTAAATAAGCACTTCTACGTACACATTCAATACGCAAAGCATAATGCAGTAATGGCATAACGATAATGATAAGTTAGTTTTCGATCCAACTCTTCATCAGAGATCGTCGTATTACATAAATTAGACTGTACATACTAATGTTATTGTATTACAGTCACGATCTTTAGGATTATCGTTCGCTCTAAATAGCGACAGCACATTCTGATCACAAGATACTCAACAACCTAATAACCATTCCGTTAAAACCATCTCCCTTTTACTGCCAACGATTTTTTTAGTTGACATGTAGGCTTCTCATAAATCTTCGCATTCTTTAACCTTATTTTTTTCGTTCTCCAACTATTCACTTCTTATTAGATCCATAATTACTGGCTCTCGTATCCGGGTATTTACAAAGACTAGAGATATACCCGCTGTGTGCTTCTTATTCAACTTTGCTGGTCTTCAATGTTTTACTCTAGCTAGATATTCTTCAAAGTATACCTGCTATTCTTCGATATATTATGGTAGTATTCGAATATAAATTGAATTTTATCTGCAGAATACCCGGGTACAACTCATAGACGAGTCAGCAGTTTACGGTAAGTTACTTATTATGTTTTCAATATTTTTTTACAACTCCATTTAAGTTATTAACATTACAATATTACCTTGGTAAACATTTTTCCGTGATCGAACACAAAACTCTCAGACTATTATTCAAATTGTATTTGTCTACTAGAGCTTTGAAGTGTGCGTGACCATTTTGGTGATAATATCCAGCATTATATCCTACTAGCATTCTAATTTTGGATAACAAAGATAAGTTTTGCCTTAACAAATCTTTCAATACAACAAAACCTAACGTCATATATTCTACTAATGCAATCCACGACCGCAGATTTTTGGGTAATTAATGAATGTTTGATATTCATCCTTTCATTGCTGATTCTACTTTGGTAATAACAATTATGATTGCTGGTCAGTCGGCTCTATATTCCATTTCTTTGAATCTTTCATAATTAGTGAATACTGGTTATTGAGGCAACACTTAGGGATGTTAATGGAGTGCTCCAGGGTGGTGTGGTGCATACTCTGGCAGAGTATCTCTTAACACCACACCACGCTGGAGTATGAATCAGAGCATACTCCAAAGCGTACCCGGAGTATAACCCGGGGTATAGCCCAGAGTACTATGTGCTAAGCACTATGTAATACTCCGGAGTTTATAATAAGACTTCCATATGATTGGTTGATTTAACTCAATTATCCGGTCTAAATTTTTATCATTATTCTTGGGACATCTTATAAAGAAAATAGCCGAATAAATCTTCTGCCGATTCGATTTTGATATAATCTAGCGTAACGTTTATTATTTACAGAGATCCATAAATAATATACCAAAATCGACGTTAAACGTTCATAATCCGTTAGTTCACTCAAACTTGCTAAGATCTGAATCGGCAAAAGATTTGTTCGGTTAATTTTTTTATAAGACATATGATGTAATGAATAACATGGCCCGAAATTCGTCTAATTGGCCAGTGCAAGGAGAATGCCCTTTAGTGGACGAGAAGCTCGCGCCAAACGATAGTGATGCTGGTGAATGTCCTCCGCCTTGGTCTTATTTTGTCGAAAAATACTTCAGAGACCGTAAGGAACACATAAAATTCTGGTGCGAAACAAATCCAGAAAGAACGCTTCAGGACCACTATAAATTGTTAGAATCACTAAGAGAAGTCGAAAAGAAATCATTAAATCGTGTTGAAAAATACCAATGTTTAAGTGGAGTACATTGTGATGAATTATTTGAAACAGGGGAAAGGATACCGAAGCGAAATGGAGTAACAGATGTTTTGAATAGTTATCTACCGAAATGCGCAAATGGTAACATTTCTCGATATTTTTATATTCTTTCCACTAATTGGTCGCGTGATATGCTACTGGGAAGTTTGAAGGATCTGGTAGGGATCAAAAGAGAACATATTTTATCAAACGACCTTGTTTTTGATGACACCAATCATACAACTGGAAAAGTAAAACGTAGCGTACTTTCAGCACTTGATAAGCTGTCAATATACAGTAAATTGGAGATTCCACGAGGAACAATTTCTGTATACATTGGAGATTCCGATACAGATTTACCGTGTCTGCGTAAGCTTCATCATTATTTATACGTATATATATGTATACATACATTTCATATATTTATTTTATTTTATTTATATAAGTGGAAGCCAATGTAGGGATCATCATGGGAAGCAAAAATACTCTTTCAAAATATTGCGCAAAATTCGGGATCGAAATCGTTGAAGGATTAGTTGGAAAGATTAACACAAATGACTTAATTAATACAAAGAAGCGACACTATAAACTTTTTCGAGTTCAAAGTTGGAAAGAAATTTCAGACAGTGGTTTATTGGATTGATAATTTTTTACAGAGATGAAATTTATTTATGTATATATTATTAGTATAGTATTATGTATATTTATTATAAGAACATTTATTTAGGCCTGCTATTGTAAATTTTTGATTTATATAACTATTAAAAAAAAAGAACAATTCTTAATGCAGATTGTATTTCTTCCTGTATACATTTTAAATTTATTATACGTAGTTTTTAATAAGTATATATTTTCGTTATAAATTAGATTAAATATATTTTATATTTCAAATAATAATAAAATAAGCATCTAACGTTGACAGCTGATGTGTCCGAGCGGTCTAAGGAGCCAGACTTAAGTTCTGGTATGCGTAAGCATGCGTGGGTTCGAACCCCACCGTCAGCAATCTGCTCTACTTTTTTTTTTCTTTAACGCCATAACCCTAGGCGTTCCGACCAAACAACTACCAATTAAAGTTACATAATCTGGTGCAATGTAGTCTAAAAAATTGCCAGTACGGTAACTCAAAATTTCGGTATAAACTAAAGCAACTAAGCCCCTATCCTATCCTAACCTTAATTCTAACTAATCTACTTTTTTTAATCTATTCCATTTTTGACTTTTATGCGTCAAAGGGTGTAAGTCACATGATCTTACACTTCGCATATGCAGATATGGTTTACGTATCACACGAATCTTCAGATTATATTCCATAAACGTACTTCTAATGAAAATACAGGTTTTACAAGCTCAAACTTGTTTAAGCTAAGTACAACCTGTAGCAATGAAAATCAACTTGTAATTATAGTAATAGGTGCGATAAATAGCAGAGATAAGCCGAATGTTGAAATTTGGAAATCGGCGTTGATGCACTGCAATAACACTCTTTCCATGTGTTGAAACAATAATCACTGAATTACTTAAGGTCGTGTATCATGCACGTGATTAATTGATCAACGTAATTCATTGCACTGCCCTGGCAGTTAGATTTATCATACGTATGAAATTGAATCAGCATCGTATATATATAAATATATAGAGTGATGATTCTTTTAGCAACTCTTTAGCACTGGTTCATTTTGCTCATTAATTTGGCCCACGGTCTTCAATTAAGCAGTTTTAACGAATAAAACGATAAAAAAACAAAGAAAAAAAAATTAAAAAAAAAAAAATAGAAAAAAAATTCAAAACTGCTTTCTTTCCATAACTATTCGAAGCGAATAATATAAGAACTTTTTATATTCACAATGGAGACCGTGAACGAAAGAAACGGTACTGATTCCACAAGTCGACTTCCTTTATCAACATATTCAGTGAAAGCTTCGACAACGGCCTCGACAACTTTAACGACAACTTCAAAGACAGCCTTTCAAGAACATCCACCAGCACCGTCTTTGCAACAGCAGTTACCACCATTGCAAAAACAAATAAGACAGGACCCACAACCACTTGGGTTCGATAAAAATGATGCATCCACTTTTACTTATCAAACAGATAAGTCTGAGGTTACGGTTCTTGATATCAAGGCTTTAGTACAAAGTGCCTTGGAACAAGCAAAAGTTGATCCAGAAGTTGTTTATGCTGCTGCACAATTAGTGTTACTAGCCAAACAGGATCGAAATAACGGATACTTCGTCGACGCTAATTCAACAGGTATCTTGGATGTTACAGCAAATCGTCCCAGTGCTATGTCCCTGTCGAATTTACTCTTACCAGATGAGGCTGGTTCATCATCGAAAGCTACGGTATTTGCTCAACTATTTCAACCTTAATTTTATATATATTTATTTATTTATTAACGTTTCGTTATTAATTTAATATTTTTTTTGACCATTAAAAGTGAGCATGTGTTATTTGTACATGGCATTGTTGGTCAACTTAAAAGATTATTCATTTTTATCATAACGCATTGGTCTAAACTATTTTATTATTTAATGGACGAAATTATTGCACATCTGCTTTTGTAACGGTAATTATCAGGATTTTAAAAAAATATATATTTATATACATCTATCCGCATATGAATTCCTTTGCAATTCGTTCATACAGTTATACGTATTTTAAATATTATTTTAATTGATATATAATGCGGATTAATTGTGCGAAAATGTATATACTTAGTGAATAGTAGTATTTAGTGTTTTTTTTTTTTTTTCCTTAACCAATTCATTTATAAATTTGATAAAAATTTCCGTTGTGTTTGCTGTTAAACTAATTCAATGGAATAAATAAATCTTTGTTCTTAGTTATCTTCAAACATTATCGCTACACAAACTATTATTATTGGCTATTATTATGACAGGTTTTCAAAACCCATCATGGATTAATGTTGTACTATATTTTATTAACGCTAATTCGTAAAAAGAATATAGAATTCTTTTTATCGAATTATCGTCGATCAGTGTTACATTACCCAAGTCAAAGATCTACAATGTAGTGTTGAACAGTTAACGGTGTTAGCCGACTTGGTCGACTAAATTAGTCCTGTAGTCGACCGTATGATGTCGTTAACCAATCAAAATTCACCTTTAATGCAGAGTTTTGCTTCATTATCAGTTATGCAACGGTCCAAATTTATATCGTTCTTTACCACTATGTCTAAAAAAAATCTACCAGAACATGTATATATTTCGTCGAAAATTCCTGACAAACCGGCGCCAGACTGGACGCGTTTTGTTTGCGTTAGTGATACTCATAACAAGGTCAGCCTTGAAACCTATAATGTTCCCGAGGGGGATGTTTTACGTGTGTATGATTCTTTTAAATAATTTAATAATTAATTCTAGCATTAATTAATTCTTAATTTAATTAATTCTTTTAATCATTTATTAATTTTTAAGTTCATTCAGGGGACTTAACCGAAGTTGGTAAATTGGTTCAAATAAAAGCTGCTATTGACTGGATCAAAAGTCTTCCGCACAAGTAAATTGCATGTTTCAAAATATAAACTTTTACTATAAAATGAACGTACGGAAAATTAACAAATCTTGTTCTAGACTTAAAATTGTTATTGCTGGAAATCATGATTTAACGTAAATTGCAGTGAATTTCTTTCTGCCTCGTGATTTAATCTTGTTCATACCAAATCTAAACACAAGATGCTTTAAGTTTAGACAAACCCTTTTATGAAGAGTCTTGGAATAGATTTAATCAATATAAGGAAGACGCTAATGAAGCTATTAACTTGATGAGAAATGCAGGTAATGGCATTGTGTATTTGGAAGATGAGTCTTTTACAATTCCCGAAAGTGGGTATCAAATGTATGGGAGTCCATATACTCCAAGATTTTATGACTGGGCTTTCAACGGAGATCGTGGATCATTCTTAAAGGGTAAGGATAACGCAAATGTTAAAAAATTATAGATAAAAAAAAAAAAAAAAAAAATTGTAATTTTAATCCCTTAAAGAAAAGTGGTCAAAAATACCACCTACTACGCATATCCTTATGACACATGGGCCGCCGTCCGGCATTTTGGATCTCACTGCAAGTGGAGAAAGTGCTGGATGTGTAGATCTTTTACAACGAATTCAAGAAATTAAACCTTTAGTTCATGTGTTTGGTCATATTCATGAGGGTTATGGTGTCTTGAAAAAGAAATGGGAAACAAAAAATAATGAAGATAAAAACTCAACTATTTTTATTAATGCGTCATCAGTAACTCGAGGATATAAACCCAAAAATAACGCGATCGTGTTTGATTTACCTCCACTAAATTGATTTTTTTTTTTTTTCTTATTATAAAATGACAATATGTACATATTTGATTAATAAACTCTGAGTCAAAATTGAAAAAGTTTTTTTTTTTATACCACTGCATTATAGTTATAACAAAAAAAAAAAAAAACTTGCATTCCATATTTCTGTATTTTGTACTGCATACGCATAGAACGCTTAAATAAACTTGGGAATTCCTACATTATCGAGCAAGATATTTCCTGTTTCTTGGCATATATATGTACTTAAAAAAAATGTATTATATATATTTATATATAAATTAATTTTTAGTGTAAGAAATCTTCGATTTAAGGAGAAAAAAAATTCAAGTTTCAACTAAAATTTATAACAAAAAGCTTCTATAAAAAATATTTTTGTTTTGTGTATATTATTAAACAATACAGTCATTCTTTACCGAATCTTCTCATTATCGTAATGAACCAGATTTTTGCGAAGCTTATTTTCTTTTTGTTAAGCTGGAATAAAAATTGGTTAGCCTTAACCATATTTGATATGCGAATTGTTTCTTTTAAGAAAAATAACCCGTGAATAAATGCGATCTATGATGTTGATTATAGATAACGATAATATTATACGTATATTTGATTTAAAAAATATTAACGTTAATGTGATTATTATACAATAAAGTTTGTATTATTAATTTATACGTATATGTTGCACATACGTCGAAATGGAATCATATTAGGTTTAGAATCAAATAAACAATTCTAAATCATGTTCAAGTTGCTAAAAAATTTAAACATATTCTATTGCAAATTATTATTAATATATATATATATTAAAGTAAGGTTTTGCTCATATCTTTATTAGATAATTATATGTATAAATAGTTATATAAAAAAAAAAACTATATAAAAACTTAATTTGTATAGTAACAAATATATAAATATGAATTAATACAAAAATAAAAGCTTAAACTAATTTATTTGTGACTTAAACTTACTAGAGTAGTTAAAACTTATCTAGATTTTATTTTTATTTTTATTTTTTTTTAGCTTTTTGATAGTTTTGTCGAAGCCCAAATATAAAAAACTTTATTTAACTATTAATATAGTAAATAAAATCCATTTTTTTCAAATTGCAAGCCTAACATTACCCGGTTGCATAAACTGTGCCCAGAAGCAACCTGTCACACTAACTTGAAAATTTAGTTAGAAGATCTTGTCAGCCTATTGAAAACTAATCTTTTTAATCTTTCTTTATTATAAGAAAAAAAAAAAAAAATTTTTTTTAACCAAAAAAAAATAAAAATTAAAAAAAAAAAAAAAAAAACTAAGACTAAAAAAACAAATAATGAAAAAGAATTAAAAGGAAAATAAAAAAAGAAAAAAGAAAAAAGAAAAACAAAGAAAAAGTCTTTATAGGCTGATTAATCTATCTCTATAAAAAAATAGTTTGTAACTAAATATTAAAAATTTATATAACTAATACAATATTAATATATCTTGATTATAAAGTTTTACTTTATATAAATCTTCTTTCTAATATATAACTATATCTGGGTACTGATTAAATACTAGGTTCTAATCTTCTATAGGTAGTATCATGTTTATTTTTAAAATTATACAAAATACATGATTGTATTTTACCAGGTTGTCTGAATTTGGAAAGAGTAAACAATGATGATTTTCTAATAAGAGTAGGTTGTTTTGCCTACTTTTTTTAAAAATTTTGTTGAAAATACAAGTGGGTGATAGCAAAAAGTATAGATCTAGTACTTTTCTTAAAAGAGAGTATATATTTTTTTAAAAGTAATAAGACAAGTAAATCCAAATATACTGCTAATATTTTTTTTGATAAGTGATAAACTTTGAATTTGTTAGCAAATAGTATATAAAAACTATTTCTAAATAACAAGTGCTATTCTATAATAAGTGATAAGCTCTAAATCTATTAGCAAATAGTATATTATAACTATTTCTAAATAATATATGCTGGTTTATAGTTTTATTAGTCTTATACAGTATCCTTCTTTTTTAATATAGTTTTATTATTTTTGTTAAAAATTTTTGTAATGAAAAGTTGGTCCAATAGTTAAAATATAATTAATAAATTTTTTATTTTTTTATTTTTTTAATATTAAGATAACTACTTAAGCTCTTGATATTTTATTAGTTCAAGCAAGTATTATATGATTTAAAAATCATAGCAACATATTATAGTAGTATTACAAAAGTACAACTAGCTATATACACAACTTTTAGTTATCTAATTTAAATAGTCTACTCTAAGGTTTTATATTAGCTGCTATATTTATACCTAACTAGGAAGCTATTTATTTAAACTTTCTAGCTTTAATATCCATATTATATTCTTTTTAATATATCTTTTCAAAATAATTTGTCAGATAAGATTCTAAAACTTTAGCTTTTGGTTAATTAATTTAGTTTTTTAAAAAGATATTTATTCTTGTAAATAATAGAAATAAAAATAAAAAATATATAAAAATATAAATAAAAAAAAATAAAGTATAAAATAAAAAACAATAAAATCAACTCTTCCTGACGATCATTTGGACCAACTTTCAATAAAAAACAGTAAAACTATGCTAGAGAAGAAGGACATAAGACTGACGAAAACCATAAACCGGCGGCCGTTATTTAGAGATAGTTCTCATACGCTATCT